CTCTCTCTCTCTCTCTCTCTCTCTCTCTCTCTCTCTCTCTCTCCCCCCACCAGAACCCATTCCAGCATCCAGTAGTTCCCATCCCAGTTAGGGCCTTAGCGGAGTACCACATCAAAATAAGTGTTTACGCACACTAACAGAAAATGGCAAAGTCACCCTGGGGTCTGCCGGGGGAGGGGGTCAGTTTTCAGATCCTGCGTCTACACTGGATTTTGTGTGAATATAGCATAATTAACAAAAACAAAGCAAGCACATTTAGCGCCTGACAGTTGTGTAGATTTTCATCACCAGGAGTGCCCTAGTGACACCAGTAAGGATGAGAAGGCATGTGTGTGTGGGCGCCGGATGCCCTTGTTTTCGGCACACAGAACGCTTCCCATCCGCATGATGAGACGGGCGCCCTCGTGTGGTGGAAACGCGCAGCCCTCAAGTCCCGAAGGGGTCCGTTCCCCTCATTTTCTTACCGTCTTACTTGTCACCAATTCTTTGGGGAGAGAACTTGGTTGCCTGGAGGGATAAGCTGCTCTCTCTGATTGGATCTACCTGTTAAGAGTTAATTAGAGAAATTGACTGAGGAAGCCTCTCAAGCAGTAGTTCTCAGAGCACTGGTGGGTGAGAGAATCGGCGGGGTGCCTCCGAGCACTGCGGACTGAGTACTCACCGGGCCGTTGCACTGCGTGTGCTTGGCGAGCAGAACGGGGGACCTGCGGGGATGGGGTGGCCTGTTCTTGTTCTGCTTTCAGGCAGCAGTTAACCGCCCCCTGCCGTGCCCTTAGCCATCCTGACTTCTCTCTTCAGCATGTCCATTCTAAACCTTTCCACTCTTAAATAGTATGGAATGGCGAGGAAGGAGACGAGTTTGTTGTATTCATAATACTTTCCTGCTCTTTACAAAGGTCAGACACTTGCCTTTTGGTCTCTCCCTTCCAAACCAGAAATGTTGTCTCTAGCGATTAACCCAGCTGTCTAAGACACCATGTTAAAAAGGAAGCTGCCATCCCCAAGCTTGTCCCCCCAGTGGGCTTTCTCCACCCTGCCCGGGCCTGGTCCCGGCCTCCACTGCTTTGCTGGCAGGGAGTGATCCTGAGCGTGACGTGCAGGTGGTCACTAAGAATCACCTTTACTAGTGATCAGAGATAAGCGGTGTGGCACTGAGGGCCAGTCTAACAGCCTGTGAATAGGTTGCATCATAAGCATTTTATTGTAGCTGATTTACATGTCCATTGCAGTTCATTTTTATGTTTTGCCTCTCTTTGGACCTGTTTAATAACAATGAATATTTGAAAGCAACCCTATGGTGTATTTTTCTTAAACGAATATGATTTTACTTTACTGTCTATCCATGTGTATTAACATCCATGGTAAAATAATGTCATTGGTAAAAATAATGCTGCGTAGATGAAGAGTTGTAATGAAGTGTTGCTTTAGTGTTGGGTTTTAACATTTTGTTGAATTAAAATGTGTTTTCCAATTGCCTACGCAGCTTCCTCCATACAGCGGAACAGTTCTGTGTGGCATACAGACTACAGATGGACTACCAGATGGTAAGCTCTCCCCTTCATTTCCCTGATCTTACCGGACGGTAAGCTAGCTCTCTCCTTCATTTCCCTGATTTTGGTGAGTCACTTCATAGCCTGTGAACTCTCGTCATGTGCGTGGGGTAGGCAGGTTACCTGGAGACAGTATTTTCTGGTTTGGTTATGCTTCTGAATAAGCTCTCCTTTACTCCTTGGTGCTTTTGCTGTAAACTATAGCAGATTAAATCACCAACCACTTGGACTAATGAATTAAGTTTATTCTGTGCTTCAGCATGTCAGATATTCAAGGTTTAGTTAAGAAAATAGTTGTTCGGTTCTGTTTTTTCTTAACAGTTTTCAGCTGTACAGGCATGTTCTCTGTCTCCAGTGCTTTTCAGAGAAGTTCTGAGGTAGGCTTTCTTCTGGTTGGGGGCTGCTGGACCAGACCTGGCACATCTTGAGTGTGTGCTCTTGCCCGGCTCCGCGGCAGCTTGGGTCTGTTCTGTGGTTTACATCGCTGTCCTCGCCTGTCACTAATGCTCTTGGGAATTAGGTAACCTCTTCACCTCCTGGCCTGTTACTTTTTTTGGTCTCTGTCACAGACACTGAGCTTGTTATTGGAGCTGGTCCTTACTGACATGCAGTGGTTTCGCATATTGTTGGAGTGCTCAGTGTTTAAATACGAGCCAGGTCATTTAATTATTGCAGCTGCCAGTGCGCAGGTCAGATCTGTCTAGACCATTTTCGTTTCAGACCACATTAAAGGCTCTTGCTGGCTTTGGAGACGCTGAAAGCTGAACGTTTTCTTGGAGAGCCAGGCATTTGATTCCCTGTTTCATAAGCATGGTCAGACCAAAAGGGATTTTAATTATAATTTAGGCTTAAATATAAACCTTGCAAAGACTAAACTTTTTATATGTAGTCAAATTAGAAAGTGATTATATCTAAAGGTTTTAGCAGTTTTATAAGAAACAGTGATACAGGAGACCATAAGGGAAAGAGCAGTTCAAATATGGCTTAGGACAAGAATAAAATAAAGCTAGAGTGACCCAAATGCCCTTACCTAGCCTCCCAACTGGCATTTTTTTAAAAATGTGAGCCAATCGGATTCTGTTTTGGTGTGCTTTCCACATAGTAACATGTTGCAAGTGTTAACTCAGTGCTTAAAAAGGTGTCATTATTTTCTCTTTCCTATGACTCCTCTTTCTAGTTTACTTAGTAGACTCAACCATCCTCTCAGGGACGTACGCTGGAGATCAGAGGCCCCACCGACCCCTCCCAACATCCATCTCCCCGTGCTCCTCCCCGCTCCCCTTTCTCAGACCACACCCCTCCGTCCGGGCTGTCATCTCTGTACAGTTACTGTTCTTGTCTCTGTTTCTCCATTTTCTCCTCTCTTCCCCCGAGTGCATCTTTTAGTCTGCTGGAAGCACAGCTGGGGCCTTGCTGCCTACACACGCTGTCAGTGACAGGCCTCTTCTACTCGCTTGTGTCTGCACTGTTTGTTAGTCCTGTAGTGCCTGTCCCACTGTCCAGGACTGAACCTGCCTCCCTGTTGAGTCTGAACTCAGCAGTGGATAGCAGGGGCCAGAACTCACTCATTTCTGCATGCTTTGCGGCCGCACAGCACAGTATCTGCAATGTTGTAAACCCTAAACCCTTTGTATGTTTCTGGCTGGATGATTGAGTGATTGATTCTGCCCTTACGCACAGCCAGCCACAGCAGGCTCTTGCAGGGGCTCATCGCAGTGTGCACCTGGTGCCTTTGCCTCTTAAATCAGTTCCTAAGGCTTGGAGTAGCCTATCTTCCCCACCCCACCCGTGTGCCCCCAAATCCAGTTAACCGACCAGTTCCATTGAGCTCTGTAGCTCCTGATGGAAATCGATGGCTCTCTTTTCTGTGTCTGGAAGCATTCTTTCTGTGAAATTCTTGTTGAGAGGCCTTATCTGGCTCTCCCTTTGCATTGTCACCTTCTGTCTGATGTCGGTCTCTCTCCAGTAAGTGTGACTCCCTTGATCATTGAATGGACTTGATAAGAAGTGATTGGAGAAATCAACTAAGGAAGTCATTGAAAGCAGTAGTTCTCAGTCAGTAGCGGGCATGAGAATGAACTGGGTGCCTCTGAACATTGTGGACTCTGGGACCCTCGGGCCGTTGTCCTGCATGTGCTGCAGTGAGTGGGCTTGGAGAAATGCTGTGTTAGGACGTGTGATGTATGTGGTGGTTGTATTTGAGCAGGTTTTCCTTCTCGAAACAAACCCGGGGCGTGCGTGACCAGAGCACCCAGCACACTGGCTGGCTGTGTAGAGCGCAGGTTTGCAGCCCTTCCCCCACTCTTGCGGCCTGCGGTTGGGCCTTGCGCTGACTTCTCTGCCTGGCAGAGCTGTGCACACGTGTCCATGACGAGTGTTCCTGGATAAGAAAAGGAACTGTTCTGGGTAGGAGTCTACCTTCCAGTGATGCAGTCAGATGCTATATTGGGTAAATGTTTTGATAATAGCCATAGCATACTGAAATAGTTCCATTAATGTAACATCACATTCTAGAGTGTTTTATGATATGATAAGATTAAGAATTGAGATGTGGAAGGCACTGTGTCTATTAGAAATAATCAAAATCTTGCCCATGCTATGCTGCACACCACAGTGCATGCTGACTTCTAGTGTGATTTCCCAATGCACACCGTACCTCACTTCCTCCCATGTGTCCATTTCAGTCCGCATAGCAGCATTGCACCCTTAAACACGAATAGGTGATGCTTGGAAGCAAGTGTGCAGTTCACTTTTAGGTATGACAGTAAAGAAATTAATTTCTCTTTGCTGATTCTTTTCAAAATAAGGAAACAAAATCAGTGCTCAGGTGCCAAAGGATTCATACTGTCATTATTGGTGGCTTTGTGTGAAGACTTGCTGTTCTGTGTGACCACTGTCAGTATTCTTTTTTCAGGAACTTTTTGTTGTCAGGCAGGTGTGCCCCACTCCCCACAGGGGTGTGCCGTCAGGACAAATGAAGAATTAGGAGGCTGTTTTTAGGCCCCTGCCTTAACTTACACGTTATGGGGTCCACCCTCTGGGGCCATTTTTCCCTTCTATAAATAGACTTCCAAGGTAAAATATATTTAGTTCTCTGTAATAAAACATGATTCTTTGTGGTATTACATTTTTCTTGAAATACATTTCTTGAAAAAAATTTGGCCTCATGCATACTTGGAGAAATCTTCAGTTATGCACCAAAAGTGAATTAAAAGGCATGTGTCTTTTCCTTAACTTCACAATTAAAGCTCTTCTATCAGCTGTAAGATGACATTGATGCTCAGTGTCTGAAAGACACAAATGATTCTAAAACTCAACATAATTTCAGAGATGTGAACTGTAAGAAAATGTACATCTTACAGAAAAAGAATGGATGGAATATACAGATTGTTGGCAGTTGGGAGGAAGTAAGTATGAAGTGTTCCAAAGAGATATTTAGAAGTTCTCAGTCTTCTGGTATGTTTGGAAGTACCTTTTCCACCCACTGAGTTAATCCGTTAGGAACCCATCTAGTGCACTTCGACCTGCGTTCATGCAAGGCCATTTTCTGACCTCAGTTAAGATTGTCAGGAGGAGACCACCAGATGGATAATTCTAAATAGTGCTTCTCAAGCACAGTTTTATATAGAGGACTGATTCTTGGTGTAATTCAGACTTTTCGAATTTTTTAATTACCCTCATTAGAGAATTCATATATAGGGCAGTGATTTTAAGTCCCCAACTTAATTGTCATGATTTTCTTTTTAAATTAAGTTGTCCAAAATATGTACCCCCTTGTCTCAGACAAAGTGAGCTATTAAAGTCAGATTTCATTGAGGGGTATTTTTAGACAGCACATATTATTTACTTTATTATAATTTCATTTTAATTTCTACCTTCTGAAGGTTTCCCTTTAGCTTCCTGAAGAGTGGAAAATAAATACAAGCCTCTTTTTCATACCTCCAAATTAAAAATAATTTCATAGTCATTGTTTATTTTCAGTAAATTGTTTATTCAGTGCAGAATTAAAATGTCATAGCTTTGTTAATTGGGTGACAACTTTAAGGGTTCAGTTTTTGAAAAGCAGATAATTGTTGAGACTTTTATAGTTTGTATAGCTGTATACTTAACTAACGAGATAGTTACTGATCATTTTCTTTCTAAACAGGACAAGAATATCAAAGAATTGAGTTTGGTGTTAATGAAGTAATCGAACCCAGCGACACTTTGCCGAGAACTCCCAACTACAGTATTTCAAGCACATTGAATCCTCAGGCCCCTGAATTTATTCTTAGTTGCACAACTTCCAAAAAGACCTCTGATGACATAGAAAAAGAAGCAAGCTTTAGCTCTGTTGACTGCCAGCACCCAGGCTCTGCCCCAGCTCTGGACGGCAGCTCTAATGTGGAGGCAGAAGTTTTAGAAAATGATGGTGTCTCAGGTGGTCTCGGACAAAGGGAGCGTAAAAAGAAGAAAAAACGTCCACCTGGATATTACAGTTACTTGAAAGATGGTGGTGAGGGTGACCTTCCCGCAGAAGCCCTGGTCAATGGCCACGCCAACCCAGCAGTCCCCAACAGTGTAGGCACAGAGGATGCAGAGCTGGTGGGAGACGTGCCCCTCTCGGGGACACCCAGAACTTGCGGCAGCCCTCAGGACTCCACGGACTTCGTCAATGATGCCGTGCCTGGTGGGCCTTTCCCTGGAGCCCTTGACAGCGATGCCAGGACTGCAGGGCAGCCTGAGGGCTGTCACGGGGCTGACTTTGAGCAATCATGCCTCCCTGCAGAGGCTGGCGGGGACAGCCTCTTGAGGACAGCTGTGGCTCTGCCTTACGTTGGGACTGATACTACTGAAAACCTCGGAGTTGCTAATGGACAAATACTTGAATCCTCGGGTGAGGGCTCAGCTGCCAACGGGGTGGAGGTGCCCACTGTGGAAAGCGCGGACTCGGACCCAGCTAAAGCCGAGAGCGCTTCCTTCCCAGCCGACACCCTGGCCTCTGTGGCGGGCGCCGCTTCTGCCAGCCAGCCTGCCAAGTCCTGGGCCAGTCTTTTTCATGGTTCCAAGCCCTCTTCCTCCTCGCCTGTGGCCTCTGTGGAAACTAAGTGTTCCCCTCCTGCCACATCTTCCCTGGTCTCTGAGAAGCAAGCCGAAGTCAGAGAAGGGCTTGTGCCGGTGTCAGAGGATCCTGTAGCCATAAAGATTGCAGGTATCACTGAAAAGATACAAGTGGAAAGTGAGCGACGCCTCTTGAATGGGAGGTTTGAGGCAGTCTGGGCTGGTAACTGCCATCCCGGGCCGCAGTAGATTCCCATGTATTCACAGGCATTTCTGAAGAATTCCATGCCTTACAGGGTCTCTCTCCAAAAGGAAAACAATATATAAGCAAAATTGGGGGGATATCATGCCTTCGTGTTAAGTGGAAAGTCCATGTCTATTACCACTTCTTTCTATTGACAAATTATATTTCCATTTCTTGCCTTTTGGTCAAGTAATTCCACTCCATTGTGTGACCGTGTAATGGGCTTGTCCTGCATGTGTCACAGCTGCTGTACACCTTTGGTATGATGGTCCTTGATTTGGACTCCCTTTCCACTGTTTCTTTTCTGTTTCTTAGGATACAAGAAAGCATATTGGGTTTTTTTCTTTTTAATGCCTATGTTGGATTGAGTAAATGAATATTACTCCAGTTTTAGCATACCTGGATCAGCTATTGACAGGAACAGAAAAACAGTTTGGCCCAAAGTTAACGTTTTATTTTGAGTTGCCGAAGCTCAAATGTAGGACCAGTTTATAATACCAATAATAAAGCTGCATAATCTTTAGCTGTTTTTTAAGTTAAAGTAGGAAGTCAGAAATACAGAGTAGTGGGTAGGTTTAAACATATCTAAGAAGCCAAGCCTGTTTCTTCAGGTTTCATTGTACCAAGAAGTTTGGCAGACAGTTCTCTAGAATCTTGGCCCATTAGCCAAGTTAAAATAAGCTGTCTCATTTAGGCTTGCTTGACATTTGGGAACACCTGCCGGCGTTCATTACCAGGATGAGAATGATTGCGATAGCGAGCTGCAACATAGCCTTTATGAATGGTCAGAATCCCATAAAATATAAAACACATCCTTTTGATGGTAGTAAGATGACAGCAAACAATACTTAAAAAAAGAATGATCATTTTATTCCTTATGTAAAACACATTATTTTGAATAAGGTTGGTGTTTGGAGTTCTGTTAAAATGAGAAGGTAATTGATAGGCCAATCATCATTTTGGGCTTCATATATACTTTTAAAAACCACATGATTTCTTTATTATAACTTTTAGCATGTATTCATTGCAAGGAGAAGGCCAAGTCATGGTAAGACAGGATAAGACTTTGTATAGATCATTAAGTCTAAAATTTACTTTTAACCTATAATGAGGAATGCATGGTGGGATGCTTTTTAAAACGTGCCTTCTAAATTCAGTGTCATAGAGTCATTGTAATTTGTTATCTAAAAATTACTTCACAAAGGAAAACCTCCTGTTCCTGGGAAATTTTCTCAACGTTTATTTTAAAACAAGAAAGAAAAGCTTCACTTTAAATATCTAAAGTCATGTGGCTTTAGATGTAGTTTGATGTATAGTTTGCTATGTTCTTCATGTGTTAAAATCTAATTGGCCTGCTGAAGTCCAGCGTTGACCTGCTTTGCAGACGGCCGTGAAGGTAGTTTACAGTTACTTGTATTAGTGGAGAGTCTTGCTGCAAACAGTCCATCTAGTTTTGAATTGATCCCTCTGAGCAGATTTATTTTTTTTAATCCTACTTGAATTAGGCCAGTTATAAAGCTGTTCTAATGATCTGAGCAGAAGTGTAGTTCCTTTAAAATACTTAATTCTTTAGAGCTTATTTATTGAGTCTCAGGAATGTAGTTGCTGCCAGGTTTCAGTGTTACTTCCTGTAGAATAATACAGCAATAGTGGTCACCTGAATAACTTGGCATCTGATAGAGCTTAGGTGAAGTGAATTGGGATTTTTTTCCTTTTGTCATATTCTTACTTAGAGGTTTACTTTATAAAAATGATACAGTATATTCAGTTTGTTATGAGTCAGATCTGCTACAAACTTCCTTTAATAGGCATGCTTTTAAGTATATGTCCACTTACTTGAAATAGCATTTAACTGAAATTCTAGATCCATTAAAAGACCTGTGAATGTTAATTATCATAGAATTTTACCTGCATTAGCATCTAACTGGTTCTACTGAGAGAGTACTTTTTATGTTTATCATTATGTTTATTAACTTTCAGGAAAGAGAGAGAAGGGAACAGTTCAGACATGAAGTTTACTCTTTTCTGAATTCTTAGAATAATATCAGTATCCACAGCTGATTTTGATCCCAGATTCACTTATTTTGGATGTCCATGTCTCTGGATCATCTGCCATGTCATTAAGCTGGTGCTTAATAACCAACTAATTTATGATAACCACAATTGAAATACAAATTAGGAAGACAGACCAACTGTAAACAAAGAATAGGAAATTAGGGAGCAAATCAACTGTAAACAAAGAATAGGCATCATGCATAAGGCATTTTGAAGTGAAACACACCCAACTCTTGATTAGTGTGGACTGTTTATCCATGGCTCAGGTGGAGTCTGCTTTCACCTCTCTGGTGGCAGGGCCATCTTCACAGTGTAGATTATTTGTCAACATTTTGTCCCACTGGCTTTTTTTCTCAAGTGTAAGCTCTCATTTAAGGAGGTGGAGGGCAAGAGCGCTCACACCGGAATGCTACATGCCTTCTGCAGGATGAACCCGCACGAAAGGTCTGCAGAGCTTGGAGAGGGGTCTGTGTTCTGTGAGTGGTTTGTGTTAGTCTGAGAGGAAATATTTGCCATTTTTAAGTAGGAATAACTAAGTCAGGAAGTGAGAAAAAGAAACCCAAAAATCTTAATAGCTTGTGTTTGAAAGTGGCCACAGCACTGGACATAACCGAATGTAGGAGCGAGTGTGGCCTTGCAGGCCGTAGAGCAGGACCTGTGCTGGGTGCTCTCCGTTAGCTCACAGCCAGGATCTGCCTGTACTCAAATATCTGATTGGGAAACTGACCATATCCTTGTAATGAATACTAAACTGTCCCTGGATTTTAACTAATGAACATTTGTCATATCCCAAACTTGAGCTGTAGCAAGTGCTTTTGATTCACAATAGAGCTATTTGTATTTTGTTTTGCTAATTGTATAGGAGTGTAATTAATGGTGGGCAGGGAGAGAGTCTAGGCCAAGTGCCTAAGTAAAATAAGTTAAAATTCCAGTGAACGAGAACTCGATAAACTGAGGTCTTTGACAGCTCTTAAAAAATGATGTTCCGTGAGGAAATTGAAGTATGTGTCACTTACTAAGAGTTCTAGTCATACCTGTTTAACATGCAATTTTGCACAGTGGTTTCATGCCTAAAATTTGTAGCTGGAGAGTACAGCAAAATCATTACAAGTTGGATCTCAGAAAAAAGAAATCCTGATGTCCATGTTCATCTTACATGTAAACAGATATATACCTTACAGTTGACCTATGATTGAGGGGCTTGTAAATCATATTATACTTCCTCCTTCCTTGGGAAGCAATTTTTCAAATATTCTGCATTTCCCTTCAGATTCTCCAGAGAAGCAAAGGTTGTGTAGCTCCTCATGCCCTGCGCCGAAGGGCGCGCTGCTGCTGTGGGGATGCGTGCGGGGGGTGGGAACTCAGTCCACCCCCACTTCCATGTGTGTATGGCCTTGCCCGTACTGCTGAGGCGTCTGTTTTAATAGAACTAAATTGAGACTCCTCCCCTTATAGAACATGTTCATCTATAGCCGGAGGGTAGTGGTACATTTTGGTCACTTTGCTATCCTCTCCCTGATTAGGTAACCAAGGTAGCCTGTGTTCTTCCAAAGTGATGTAATGAGGAAAAGAAATACTTGGAGACTGTTCTGGACAGGTAGGAAGATGACAGGAAAGCAGGTCAACAACATTAGGGTGACAATTACAGGCCCATTATTGAGCCTTAAGAATCAGTGAAAGTTCTGCACCATGCGTTCTCATGGATTTTATAGGATAATATAACCTCTAAATCCTAATTGTAGTAAAACAGAATTTGATGTGTAAATCTGTACAAGAATAATCATAGCTTGTGTTGACTTAAAATTTTACAGTGCTCATATTGCCATTGAGTTTATAAGTCATTTGAATGGATTGTGGCAACATATGTGAGCTACTGTTTATGTCTTGAGATACAAGAAAAAATATTAACCACTTAGTTTTCTGTGTATCAGCAGATTTCATAAGAAGGTTTAACTTCAATTCAGCCATTTAAAGTTTGAGGTATATTGTAACAGTGAAGACCCTGGTTTCTATTTCTTAGCTCTTACGTGATGTGCCCTTCCAATGGCATTGTTCTGGGCAGTGCCCCCAACTCCTGTGCAGAAGACAGACTGGGGAGGCCGCTAAAGTTGCTGTGTAAACGGGTCTGTAGTAAATTACACCAACAGTGATGAATTGCAAAGGCCTCTGGGGAGAAGCTCATTACTGTAGTCAGCTTCTGATTATTTGCACTGAGAGAAGTTGAACTAGATGGCCAACAATGACTTTGGACTGCATGTCAGATTTAAGATGGCAACTTCAGGAAATACCCTGCAGTTCTCTCCTTTGTGCCCCCTTCTGTTTTGTGTCTTTTGACCTCCATAACGACTGTGCTTATTGACGGCTAGGCTAGGAATAAAATAGTAAATGGAAATGGTGATATTGTTAAAAAAAAGGAACTTACTAATTAAATAGAGGCAGGGGATTATACCCAAAAGCAGTATTGATACTGGCTTGTTTGCAAGTCATGAATAATTGACTTGAATTATGGCAGTAAGATTCATTCATTTTAACAGGACTCAGTGATAGTGATGGTGACTGTTTCAGGCACCAGAACCCCCTTTGCCCCAGGCTGGGTCGCTGGGAGCGGCGAGAGTGGCTCGCTGGTGCACCTGCCACATGTTAGTGTCTGGCTCAGTTTGAAGTCACTGAAATCATTCAGGGGGAAAAGGCTCAATGTACAGTGTGTTACAAAACTGAGTCTTTAAATTGGATATTTGGTTTTTATGAGAAAATCCTAGACAGAAAGGTATTTACCTTAATTTCTTTATAATCCTTCATTCCCTTTGAAATGGAGCTTTATTATATATTCACAAAATGTTCAGAACTTTTAAGGAATTTTTAAGCTAATTTCTTTCTTCTTGGAGTACTGAAATCTCAAACTCTCCCATAAACCAATTTCCTCTTTCCTTCTCTTCCCACCTGTACTGGCTCTTTATTTTCTAATGAGTGTTGTGGGGCAGCTGTTAAGGAGCTGGCCGCCCTGCCTGGTGTTTTCTGTATGAGTATTAACGGTGACCTGGTTGGTTTCAGGTAAGGAGCAGTGTCTGCTGCAGGCGCTCTTGCCCTCAGTCTGCTTCTCCACAGGGTCCCTGGAGGCTTTCTGAACATGGGACCAAACAATCTCTAAAGTCCACTGGGCCATTTCTAGCACGAATGGAGTCATTCACTATAACCAGTAGCTTTAGTATCCACAAACGTCCCGTCATCCTGCTACTGCTGAGTGCTTGTGTGCCAGCCACCGTCTAGGTCAGTGAGTGACCATCAGTGTTGCCTCGAGGGTTATCTAAGGGATAAGAGGAAAGGAGCAGACAGCAGCAGCTCTGATGAGCGGTGAGGTCATCTGCAGTGGGGAGTGGGTGGCGGAGGCAAGTGGTGGTGTACCTGGTGGGGGTCAGTCAGGATGGCAGGAGCAGGCTGGGACACAGAAGGCATGAAGTCCTGTCCCCACGGTGCAGGGGTGCGGTCTCTAGGGGTCACCCACTGCAGGAAGGGAGCTGCACAGCCCTGCCACATGGCAGGCAGGCAGCCACAACGTTGGTGATGGCAATGGCGTCTGCCACCGGGAGACACACGGATGCAGCTCCAGTCAGCGGTCCACTTATTTTGGGAGTAGTGTTGGGGATCATTGGAAGATACCAGCAACTGAGCGATACTGTATTTTAGCTTATGGAAAACTTGCCACTGCAGAGAAAATTTTTCTAGAATAACAGTCATTAAGGAGAATCTAGACTGTTCAGTATCTTCTCTGTATGTTTTAAGTGTGAAGACCTAGTAATCTACATTTATGAGTATTATACCAGAAGGTTGTTCTTTTAAAGAATGTTAAAGACTTGAAAAGAAGCTAGTTGTGGTACATTGTCTAATAAATGTGTCGAGTGTCCTTTTGTTGTACATTATGTTTCAGAGTTTTTGCCTTTTTAATTTTGTAGATGTTTACTTGCGATGTTCTGTTACTTGCAGTTATTAAACACAGCACTAGGTGATGCTAGAGACTTGAACTTGACATTGTGGAAGCCGAGCAATAAACTGCCTTTTTATCTGCCTGCTCCTTAAGCAGGCAGAACATGAGAAGGAGTGGCGAGCAGCTGCATCAACTCAAGGGAAGGGTAGATGTAGAAACTAAAGGTTTCTGTCCAGCAGTACTTGCTGTTTCACAGAGAAGTGCTGGAAACAAGTCGGCTGGCTAATGGTCAATTTTCAGTCGGCTGTGTTCTCTGATTCTGTAGAGCTGGAACGTTTCAGCCTCTAGGTGTGTGGATAGTCTGGGCACGTAACTCAGTTAAGAACGTAGGAGGTGTGGAGCTTAGAGAAGTTGGTTCTTGATATTTTTGCACCTGTTTCCCTTTTGAGTGTGGAGTTGGCTTTGTCATAAATATATTTTTTTAAATTTAACAAGATAGGGTGTCAAAGTACTTTTGACCTCCTATAAACATGTTTTTGAGTCTGTTAAAACAGTTGACATGAAAGGGGAATTCCAGCTCTTGTAAGCCTGTCCCCTCGTCATTTTCTTTACATTTTCCTCCAGTGTCTGTACTAAACAGCAATTAAGTCATCAAGCCACCTTCCCCCACCCCCACCCCCAACCTTCGCGACTACCCCACTGTAGAAGACTTTGCCTCCCGTGTCATAAAGAAAACTGAGGTTGCTGTTTCCTTTCTTTCCCCACTGTGAGCTGCAGTAAGTCCGTCCTTCCCCTAGTGGTAACCCTGTCCCCCTGCAATCCTGGGAACCCCTTGGTGACCCCATCCTGTCTCCTCAGCCAGGCTGCTAGAAGGGGGAGATGCATGTATGCTTTCCACTCCTGCACTCCTGCTTGAAGCCCTAGAACTGCTTCTGCCCCCACTGTTAGTTCAGACACTCCTGTCCTTCTGATCACCGGTAGGCAATCTTCTCAGCCTCTCGCTTAGACGTGGTGGTGCGCAGGGTCCCACTCCTGATGCTGTGTGCTTCTTGCTATGTGTGTAGTCAGAGTGTGCAGGTCGGCCCTGAGCCGCAGGGGCCTGGTGGGCATGTGTGCCCAGCTGTGTTGCTGGCAGGCCCGAATGTGAGTGTGCTGTTAATTAGGTATCATCTGGGTGCCTCTTATTAGCACCTCTAAAACTGAACTCATGATCTCATCACTGCACAAAGCAAACAATGACCCGCTCGTCTTGTAAGTCTCCTCTGGATGGAAGGCATGGCACCCCAGCTGGAGACATGCTGGTATCGGCTGCTGTTTGCTGTCGTGGACCTCAGGCTGCCTGCCCCAGGGGTTCTCTGATCCTTGGACTGGGCTAAGCATCCTCTCCGCTGAGCCCCCTGCAGCTTGGCCCACACAGTATTGTCCCTTCTTCACTGGTCTGCAAGCTCTCCTGAAGCAGAGCCCCCTCTCAGCCACCTCTGCCTCCGGAAGCAGCGCCCAGCAGGGCTCAGTGAAGGGCAGCAAGTCATTTAACAGAGGCCCTTGGTTTAGGAAGGCAATTGATTTAGAGTCTTGTTATGTAAAACTTAACATTAATTGTTTTTAGATATAAAAGGGCTATGGCAAAGATTTGCAGGTGTCTTGCGGGAGTGTTCATTTGGGATTGATGCTTATTTGAAAATACAGCGTTTTATAGAGTAATTACATAAAATAGTTGCTATTCTGTAGCACACGCTGCAAATTGTGGACTGTTGTGAAAATATGGCTCAAAGACAAATGTAAAAATCCATTGTGAGTAGAAGATCTTAAGCCTGTGGGGAAAAGTTAATATCTGAAACCTTAGAGTAAAATGATTTTAAAGTAGAGCCCATTATTTATTGAGAGGACAGGCCTGGCCTCTGGAGTCAGGTAGACCCAGGTTCACAAGTCAGCTCAGTCATGTGACCTACACCAGTTACCCAGCCCCTCCAGATCTCAGATCCCCCGCCCTGTAACGTTTGGATGATATTGTGTCTCTTTGGTAGGGTTGCCAGGATAGTCATGAGTGATACAGATAAAGCTTCCGGCACAGGGTCTGCCACCTGACCTGACGTGTCTGTGCTGGGTACTGTGACACGTGGGCTTGCTTAGTTCTGTACCCGTAGTGAGAGATGAGAGGAGCTTCACAAAGCTTTGTCTAATCGAACAGGTCCCACTGGGTTTTTCTTGAGCCTGTAATGTTTTACTTTTTATAAATGGGAAAAGTATTCCCTGTGCTTCCTTGGTTAGAGGAAAGAAGGCATTTATTCTCACAGAAGGGAGGGAACGAGGCAGTGTGAGTTTATATGTTGACATTAGAATTTTGCACATTAATTTCTTCATTTAATGTTTAAAAGTCTGGGACCTGCTGGTCCAACTGTGTTTTAGAATCCATGCCTTGGGTGGATGCTGATAGCAAATGTGTGTCCACTTTTTCTTTTCTACTACACAATTAAAAAGTAAAGGGAGGCAGTGTGGTAGGGCCATGTAGGTCATGGGTTTCAGGCACTGCTGGGCTCCTGAGCTCCTCTGTGAACAGAGAGGTAAACTAGTTAAGCTTTTTGAGCCTCAGTTTCCTTATTGGTGAAAGAATAGTGTTGGTATTCTCGGATGATGGAGGATTAAGTGCAACCAGTTAGTATCTGTTGGTTGTGAAGCACTTAGTGTAGAAGGTGCCTGTAAATTGTAGCTGTCACTGTTACAAGATTCATAATGGGGGATGGAAAGACCTGTCTTGTTTTAAAGCATTTCTGGAAAAAATTATCTCAAGCATTAAAACACTGTATAAAGTTGACATTCAAAACTATTTTCAGACTGTAAAGAAGAGTGATGTCAAAAGGTGAACCTGCGGCTAAGACGCTGCTTTATAGGGGAGTGTGGGAACCCCAGTGTATGAAACAGCCCCTAATTGGACTTACAGTGGAAAATACAGTTTAGTCAGGAGACATTTGTCCCTAAAAGGAGTGTCATCACTGAACAGCCGCGGAGCACCCGCTGTGATGCGTGGGTGCCATCATTGTGGCTGGGATTCTGACCCAGTGAGACGCGCACCTTCGCGGCTGCTGTGTGAGGGGCGCTGCTGGCGGGCGTGTCTCGCTGTCAGTGTTGGAGGAGGAAGCGCTGTCTTTCACATCTACTCTCCAATACTGATAGTGTTTAAGCATTTTCTGTTTCTTATTAAAATAGCTATTGTGCTCCTTTGTTAAAATGTTCTCACAGGAAGATGAATGAATGTTAGTGTTTGGGGGAAATATTTTTAAAACTTTACTTATTAAGTAATGTACATGTTGAACGGAGGGAAACTTTTAACACTGTATGCCCTTTCCTTAGATTTGTGCTTTATCGAAGGGGTTTTAACACTCTCCCAGGGACAGTAGAGCCTAAGAATTTACTTCAGTGTTGTTCACTAGATGTCATTAACTTCTTAAATATGCTTCTCACTCTTTCAGAGTTACTGGAGAATGTAACCCTAATACATAAACCAGTGTCATTGCAACCCCGAGGGCTGATCAATAAAGGAAACTGGTGCTACATTAATGCTGTATCCTTCTCAGATGCTGTCCCCAAGGCTGGCTTACTGTGGGTTTCTCTTCCTCAGGAGCATTTGACTTAGTTTAGCTACCAGGAGCATCTGCCCTAAATTTTGAATCCAAAGATGTGATCTCTTAAGTCTGCCTTCCTTGCTTGTAAACATGGTTATTCCTGACCAGAAATAAAAGATGATTTGTTGACCTGTGAATGGCAGAATCAGGCGCTTTATTCTCCTTACACTAGTCCCAAATAATAGGGCAGAGTGACTGCCTTCAACTGCAAATTTTGTTCTAAGTGATTTGATTGTTTTGTTGAATGGAGTTCTTGTACATAAATTACCAAGTGCATGGCAAACCCTTTATGGACATCGCAGGCCGTTATCCCATGATTACTTGTGAATAATCCCATGATTATTCCTTTTTGTGTTTACATATCTAAGTCATTCAGTGTCCTTGGCTTATTCAGTGTTATATGCTCTTGTATTAATGTGCCTTCTGGAAATTTGGAATGTCTGTGTCATTTCCTTTACACTTCCTTACTATCAATATTTAGACACTGCAGGCATTGGTTGCCTGCCCTCCGATGTATCACCTGATGAAGTTCATTCCTCTGTATTCAAAAGTACAAAGGCCTTGTACATCAACACCCATGATAGATAGCTTGTAAGTAAGGTGGTTAAAAATAACCTGGGATGGGGGGCTCCCCTTTGATAATTACAATTCACATAGTTTAGCAAAGTTGTTGATCTACTGCAAATGAATCTTACAATTCTATTTTTTAAAATTTACTGTTCATGATTTTATATGGAAGTTAACTAGAAATGCAGTTTAGAGCATTATCTCTGTTCTTTAGATTCAGTTGAGTAAATTTTAGTGTTTAATACTTTATACCCATAAAATAAAAAACTTCACATATAGCACTGGTTACCTAAAATGTGCTGTCTTCAGACTAATTAATAGTCTACTTAGTCATTGAGGCTCTTTAGTAAGAGTGTCTTTTTAAAAAATGTACTACTTAACATTTTTTTCCCCATGTTTAGTGTTCGGCTGATGAATGAGTTTACTAATATGCCAGTACCTCCAAAACCCAGACAAGGTGAGTAAAATGAGGTCTCCTGAGACCATTACACACTGGGAGTTATGAAGTAGGGTGACTCAATTTGATAAATTCAGGCTTGTTGAAAAGAAGGTGTATTTTTTAATGCAGGTTGCTGCACCTGTGCTGTTCTCAACACACGGGCTGGGTGGGGAGGATCAATGCTGCTCTTTTTCATTGTTTTAAGACTTTGTTTTAGTTACGAAAATCTGTGTCGTGTTTTCCATTGCAGCTCTTGGGGATAAAATCGTGAGGGATATCCGCCCTGGAGCTGCCTTTGAACCCACGTATATTTATAGACTGTTGACAGTTATCAAGTCAAGCCTGTCTGAAAAGGTTTGGGACCGCCCTAACGTAGCCCGTCTGGAGTGTTGCCGTAGCCCCACGCGGCGCCTTCATGTTGTTTGCTCAGTGCCTGCTCGGCTTTGTGCTGTGGTTTGGTGGGTGTGGAGGCCTGGGCTTGGTGTGGAGGCCACCACCCGGATGAGTTTAAGGAGTATGGTGGTAATCAGAGCGACCCCGTGTGTCATGTACTGTGCACCAAGTACTGTTGTAAGTTCTTTGCATCTGTTCATCACTGAACAGCCGCGGAGCACCCGCTGTGATGCGTGGGTGCCATCATTGTGGCTGGGATTCTGACCCAGTGAGACGCGCACCTTCGCGGCTGCTGTGTGAGGGGCGCTGCTGGCGGGCGTGTCTCGCTGTCAGTGTTGGAGGAGGAAGCGCTGTCTTTCACATCTACTCTCCAATACTGATAGTGTTTAAGCATTTTCTGTTTCTTATTAAAATAGCTATTGTGCTCCTTTGTTAAAATGTTCTCACAGGAAGATGAATGAATGTTAGTGTTTGGGGGAAATATTTTTAAAACTTTACTTATTAAGTAATGTACATGTTGAACGGAGGGAAACTTTTAACACTGTATGCCCTTTCCTTAGATTTGTGCTTTATCGAAGGGGTTTTAACACTCTCCCAGGGACAGTAGAGCCTAAGAATTTACTTCAGTGTTGTTCACTAGATGTCATTAACTTCTTAAATATGCTTCTCACTCTTTCAGAGTTACTGGAGAATGTAACCCTAATACATAAACCAGTGTCATTGCAACCCCGAGGGCTGATCAATAAAGGAAACTGGTGCTACATTAATGCTGTATCCTTCTCAGATGCTGTCCCCAAGGCTGGCTTACTGTGGGTTTCTCTTCCTCAGGAGCATTTGACTTAGTTTAGCTACCAGGAGCATCTGCCCTAAATTTTGAATCCAAAGATGTGATCTCTTAAGTCTGCCTTCCTTGCTTGTAAACATGGTTATTCCTGACCAGAAATAAAAGATGATTTGTTGACCTGTGAATGGCAGAATCAGGCGCTTTATTCTCCTTACACTAGTCCCAAATAATAGGGCAGAGTGACTGCCTTCAACTGCAAATTTTGTTCTAAGTGATTTGATTGTTTTGTTGAATGGAGTTCTTGTACATAAATTACCAAGTGCATGGCAAACCCTTTATGGACATCGCAGGCCGTTATCCCATGATTACTTGTGAATAATCCCATGATTATTCCTTTTTGTGTTTACATATCTAAGTCATTCAGTGTCCTTGGCTTATTCAGTGTTATATGCTCTTGTATTAATGTGCCTTCTGGAAATTTGGAATGTCTGTGTCATTTCCTTTACACTTCCTTACTATCAATATTTAGACACTGCAGGCATTGGTTGCCTGCCCTCCGATGTATCACCTGATGAAGTTCATTCCTCTGTATTCAAAAGTACAAAGGCCTTGTACATCAACACCCATGATAGATAGCTTGTAAGTAAGGTGGTTAAAAATAACCTGGGATGGGGGGCTCCCCTTTGATAATTACAATTCACATAGTTTAGCAAAGTTGTTGATCTACTGCAAATGAATCTTACAATTCTATTTTTTAAAATTTACTGTTCATGATTTTATATGGAAGTTAACTAGAAATGCAGTTTAGAGCATTATCTCTGTTCTTTAGATTCAGTTGAGTAAATTTTAGTGTTTAATACTTTATACCCATAAAATAAAAAACTTCACATATAGCACTGGTTACCTAAAATGTGCTGTCTTCAGACTAATTAATAGTCTACTTAGTCATTGAGGCTCTTTAGTAAGAGTGTCTTTTTAAAAAATGTACTACTTAACATTTTTTTCCCCATGTTTAGTGTTCGGCTGATGAATGAGTTTACTAATATGCCAGTACCTCCAAAACCCAGACAAGGTGAGTAAAATGAGGTCTCCTGAGACCATTACACACTGGGAGTTATGAAGTAGGGTGACTCAATTTGATAAATTCAGGCTTGTTGAAAAGAAGGTGTATTTTTTAATGCAGGTTGCTGCACCTGTGCTGTTCTCAACACACGGGCTGGGTGGGGAGGATCAATGCTGCTCTTTTTCATTGTTTTAAGACTTTGTTTTAGTTACGAAAATCTGTGTCGTGTTTTCCATTGCAGCTCTTGGGGATAAAATCGTGAGGGATATCCGCCCTGGAGCTGCCTTTGAACCCACGTATATTTATAGACTGTTGACAGTTATCAAGTCAAGCCTGTCTGAAAAGGTTTGGGACCGCCCTAACGTAGCCCGTCTGGAGTGTTGCCGTAGCCCCACGCGGCGCCTTCATGTTGTTTGCTCAGTGCCTGCTCAGCTTTGTGCTGTGGTTTGGTGGGTGTGGAGGCCTGGGCTTGGTGTGGAGGCCACCACCCGGATGAGTTTAAGGAGTATGGTGGTAATCAGAGCGACCCCGTGTGTCATGTACTGTGCACCAAGTACTGTTGTAAGTTCTTTGCATCTGTATGTAATTCACGCCCCAGTGAATAAAATATGATTATTGTCTCCTCGTTATATTCGAGAAAAGTGAAGTCACTGTCCAAGGTCACTCAGCTAATAAATGGCAGAGCTGGCATGAGTCAGCTCCTCAGCCACGCCTGGGCTGCCGTCAGGTAGGAAGGGCGATGGGGCCCGGCAGGCGGCACGCTGGGAGGAGCTCTGTTCCTCGCACTCAGCCTATGTTAGTAGCTCCTTGGGTCCTTGAATCTCTCTCTCACCTACGTTTTCTGTCCTGCAGTTGGCTACTGAAGGCATGGGACCAAGGGCCAAGGAGGTCTTATAAAGGGCCCTGTCAGCTGTTGACAGTGAATCAGGGGCACCCTTTGCATAGTTAGTTGGAGCATTTCTTTCCTACCTCACGGAGTTTGTGGAACAATCAGTACAAGCAATGGATGCTTAGAGAGAAATATAGTCAAGAGAATCCATTAAAACAAAGTAAAACTGAAGCTCTACTGTTTAGCAGAAGGATGAATGCCCAGGACTGTGTATCAGGGCCCCACAGGGACGTTTTACATGGTCTTGCTGCAGCTTTTGGTGATAAGCTTGGAATATACATTTCCCAATTAATTGGAAATATGCAGAGTGTTACAGAAATGGAAGAAACTGTGCCCTCTGCCCCCAGCTCACTGCCCAGTAGGGGAGTTAGATATGTAATCTAAGAAAATAAATAGCAAAGGAAGGACTAAGGCAGATACATAGACAGCTGCTTTAAAGCCAGGGGAGGCCCAGCCAGCTCAGGCGGGGAGGGCGAGCATGAGGCTCGGAGGACTTCCTGGGGTCGAGCCCCACTGAGATCCTGCTCAGAAGTTATATTCGTGCACAAATGTGTCTTTCCAAGTTACACTGTACTGGCTGTGGGGGGTCCTGGAGACCACCCTCAGGCTTGGTGACTCACTAGGATTCACAGGGCTCAGAAGCTGTTTTCCTCGGTCACGGTTTAGTACAGTGCAAGGACACAGAGCAAAATCAGAGTGAAGACGGGGGAATGTGCAGGAAAGCCCGAGACCCCTCACCTAGTGCAGCCACCCGGGAGGCGCTCTGCTCCTCAGCACTGTCACAGCACATGTGGAGTGGGGACCACCAGGGAAGCTCACTGGAGACTCAGCGTCCAAGGGTTATTAGGGGCCGGTCACGTGGGCACCCTCTGCCTTAACAAACCAGGATTCCAAACACCCAGAAGGAAAGCAGATGTTTACCATAAACCACACTGCAGTTCACAGTTTAGGCACATCCCCTATCAGGTCTTGGAAAGGTGGGAATCGTCCCCAAATCTGAGTTCCCAGATAGCAGCCAAGGACCAAGGCAGCCAGCAGACCTTCCCAAGGACCGTAGCCTCAGGCCTGCCGTGTTGACTCTTCTGTAAATCTTGGGCTGTGGCAGCTTCCACCCTTTTCCACACACATGCAGAGCACACCCACGCCGGAGAGCTGCTGTCTGTAGCCGCAGCTCCATTTGGAGCCCCCAAGTCTACCAGAGGCTGCAAGCAGAACGTACAGATCCTTGCAGCGTGTGGTTGTGCTCCAGACACGAACACGTCATGATAAATTGTATAATCAAACCAGTATGAGATTATAAAACTAAGATGTCACTACATTGTCTGAGTCATAATGCGAATGATTCTGCCGGTGTGTGTCTGTCAGCCATATTTTTAAATCAAGAAAGTTTTTCACATACAATTTGTCTTTTCCCCTATAGCCGCCCATCATCAAAAATAGGAAACAAATAGGGCTTTGAATTTCACAACTCATGGTGTGAATGATAACCGCAGTGAGGTAGCCCTAGAAATCTGGTTCTTGCTCTTCTTTTTATTTAAACAAAACTTGTAAGTAACTTTTATTATAAAGATAATGTATATTGTAGAAAATTTCAGAAGTACGGGAACACATGAACAATCCCCATTAGTTCTGTCACTTAGACATAAGTGTTTACTCTGTGGCTCCCCCGTGTGTCTCCCCCAGCTCCACCTTTTGCGTCCAACCAAGGAAAAATTCATGTGGGTTTTTGGGAGACCCTTCCCGTTACATCTTGCTGGAAATTTAAGAGGTGCAGCTTGGATGTGTATGCACCCTACCCACCTCAGGCCTTGGGCGGCGCTCAGCCAGGACTGATGGAACCATGTTTGGTCTTTGCAGGGTCGCCAAGAAGATGCCGAGGAGTACTTAGGCTTCATTCTAAATGGGCTTCATGAGGAAATGTTGAACCTGAAGAAACTTCTCTCACCAAATAACGAAAGTAGGTGACGGTGTGTTTGCTACAAAACCGTGTGAGAACATTTCTGTCAAAACTGTTTCTAAATGACTGTTACTTGTTGATGTACTGGGTTGCCCCTTGGCTTCCACCCCCAGCGGCCATTCGCCCAAGTCACTTTCTACTCATTTGGATATAATAACTCCAGTTAGGTTTACATTGCTTATTTTAGGTGCTATTGAGAATGTTCTACATGGAGAAGTCAAATTTATCCAGAACCTCTGCTTTTCTTCTGTCAACTTTTAATAGGAAAACGATCAAACATACAGAAAAGCTGAAGGAATGCGTTTGATGAATACCTGTGTGACTGCTGAGTTCTGCAGTTGCTAGTATGTTATCATTGTTCAGCTACCCATCCACATACTGCACGCACACTTTTCCTGAATGATTCAAAATTAAGTTGCAGACAACAGTTTAGTCCACCCCTCGGTGCCAAGCATGCATCTCCTGAGGATGAGGCTTCTGACCTACATGACCAGACACCTTACCACGTTGATAGACTCACCAGCCACGCAGTAATAGTCACTTTCCAGGCCCTGTTCAGACTGTTCCCAGTTGTGCCAGAATGTGCTAGGCCAGGGGGCCGGCAGGGTTGCCCAGGTTGCTTCTGTTCTTCGTGTAGGACATACCCTACTTCTGTTTTTAAAGCTACAACCGACAAATCTGTTAGGAGGTTGATGTAAAACCCTCTTTTATTTTTGTTTTTGCTGTTACTGTTGTAAATAGTAGCCTAAGCAGACTGTCTCCTTTTCAGAATTCACTGTTTCCAATGGACCCCAAAGCCACCCAGCGAGCGAAGAAGAGCGGGAAGAGCCGGGCGGAGGAAGTGAGGACGAGTGGGAGCAAGTGGGCCCCAGAAATAAGACGTCGGTCACTCGCCAGGCGGATTTTGTTCAGACCCCAATCACTGGCATTTTTGGTGGACACATCAGGTTTATGCTTTTCTGGAATAATGTGGTATTTGCTGTGTTCAGGGTTTTGCCATTTTGCTGAAGGGGAAAGCTGGTAGGCTTGTCCTAGGCCACAGCGGACTCGGTGGCTTGCGTGCATGCTGCTGGGCCGTGCGTCTCGTGGCCTGCCACGGGGAGCGCCCCCCCCCCACCACCTGCACTCAACGCTTTCAGGCCGGCTGCTCACAGCTAGGTCAGAGGAGGGAGTCGTGTCAGTCGACGTAATGTGTTTTGTTAAGAGAAGAAATTCATTTGTTTGATTGGAGGAATTGTAGGAACTGGAAAGACGGGTGTGGAGGGAGTCACTCTGACAGTAAGGCAGACACTGGCCCACAGGAGTACCTGGGCTCCTCCTGTCCCAGGTCCCTCGGACCAGCTGCTCTTTGCTTGTTCATGAAGCCCTCCTAAGAGGTTTTCAGTTATTTACATTAGAGCTGTTCATATCGCCATGACTTGGAGTTCATGAGAACGTGCTTAATTTCCAATGAGGTTCACTCCCCTGGAGCCTGAAGGCCCCTCCCTGGAACACGATCCCCCACTGGGGGCCACACAGCACAGCCTATGAGGGGGGTGGTTTTAGTGAGTCTTAGCCTTTCATTGTCCCAAGTGCTGTGTAATGAAAAGAAGGAGCACCCTTTTCGAGGCACCGAAAGTTAGTCCAGTCTCTCTGTGCTCTGAAATCATGGAGCACCTTTCAATAGGCTGAGAGCAGCCTGCCCCGACTCCCGGGCAGGGCTGCGTGCGGGGCTGGGGCAGAAGCCTCACATGTGGCGGTGTGACCTTGAACAAGTCGTTCCTGTGAGCCCGTGCAGGCCCCTTCCCATTCTGGGGTCTCCCGGCATCAGCCTCACCGGCAGGTGTGCTCTGGCGAGCGCCCAGCCCAGCCACTGCTGGGGTGACTTGTTTTTGCCAAATTCGGTTCCTTGGGACAGGGCCGTTTGGGGACTCACTTAGGGATGCGGGAAGAGTCAGCGGACAGCCCAGATGGACGCAGTGTGAGCACGGCAGGAATACCGAAATTGCAAGGCCGCTGGATCCAAAGACCCCACATTTGAGTGTAACCAGTGGGAGAAACCAGAATCCACTTTGGAGACACTTCAGCTCTGTTGCATGGCCCTGCTGCAGCCCCTAGCCTCAGCCTCTGTGGCCTTTTTGTGTTGAAATTGGTTCTTTCTTTTTGAAAAACGGTAGGACAAAACAGAGTTACTTCTTATAACTGAAGAACTTCTTTTCTGTGTAGAGTGGCCACTGTGAAGCGTTATGCAGACCCTGTAAGGTTTTCTAAAATTCGCCCTCTGAGTGGTTTGTCACTGTCCTCAGGAAGACCAGTACCTTTCTCCACCGTTTCCCTGGGAACTTTAATAAAATCCAGGCCTTGACTCAAGAGCACCACTTGGGGATTTCTATGCCAGCTTTAATTACTGCATTTCCCACCGCTGCTCTTCAGCGCTGAGGAGACGGCAGCCCCATGGGGGGTCACGCTCAGCAGGGGCACAGGGACGCCCCCTGAGTCCGGGCAGGAAGCCGTACTCGAGCCCACACGCAGGCGCAGGGGCTTTCCCTGCGCTTCTCGGCTTCGGCTCGTCAAGTCCGAGTACCCACACCCGCTTTATTCTGCTAATAAACTGGGTCACTCAGAAGTAGAATCCCTTGTTGAACTCCTCAAATGTTTCCTCGCTGAGGCTAAGTGAGAGATGGGACAAACACACAGTTTTTACTCAGAAAATGTTAGAATAAGAAAAATGAAATGAAAAACCAGCTAAGAAAACAAAGTTACGTCGGCACCTTCTTGAGGGCGGTGCTGTGCCCTGGATGCCTGCGTGTTTCTGTAACACATACCCTGCTCTTTTAAGTTGTTTTAACGGGGAAATGCCATTAAAATACTCCATTTACCTTGGGATTTCCTCTATTTTATTAGACCAGGGTGTGATACTTTGGGAAAATGAAAAGTGTTAGCATTTTGAGGCTAAAGCAAGCTAGGCGTAGGCACACTGTTGACTGGTGCATTAAATAAAGTGTGGAATCGAGGTGCAGGAGTTTGGAAGATGAAATAGGTTTTTTTCCAGAGCACTTGAGCTGGGAAAATTATCAACTGGTGAATTTAGTTGCTAGAAATACTTAGGAGGTGATCTCCAGCAGAATTATTTTTAAAATTCAGTTGTGTGTGTAATTTTGATTTCCTGTTCTCTCTGAACTTCTGAAAGTAAAATTGAACAATCTTGCTTTCAGGGTTTATTCCTCTTTTCCTAGTGTATGACCTTCCTTTGCCTGAAGGGGAGGGGGGAAGGTGTGGTCTCTTAGATTTTTTGTTTTTGTTTTCAATTCTTAGGTCTGTGGTTTACCAGCAGAGTTCAAAAGAATCTGCCACTTTGCAGCCATTTTTCACGTTGCAGTTGGATATCCAGTCTGACAAGATACGTACAGTGCAGGATGCACTGGAAAGCTTGGTGGCAAGAGAATCTGTCCAAGGTTACACCACAAAAACCAAACAAGAGGTATATTCACAGCTGATCCTGAACTTCGGTGCTGAGGCCCTCTGGCGTGGTGGGAGGAACACAGGTTCAGGATGCGGAGAAGTGAATTTGAGTTCTGCTTATTAAATCGGTTGCTTAACTGTTTTGGACGGAAAGTTTCCACAGCTTTAAATGAAGTAGTTGAAACAGGAGCCTAACAACCTCCTTTCGCTCTTAGTTATGGAGCGTAGGTAACAGTGACCTTTTAGACTCATTGTCCCGAGCTGCATTTTCTGGCAATCTAATCACGATCTTGCAGAATCAGTACTGTCCCTAATAGGGGCTGAATAGCTTGCTTACATTCCTGATGCCATGGAGCACAATTTCATGAGATTAAGATGGAAAAGAGATTCTAAACACGTCTGTTGTGCATTTGATTGTAGACGGTCAAGGACACTGAAGAGTAGGACTGTAACTTCTCTGATTTGATCGAAAAAGATAACGAGTCTTCGAGTCTTTCAGTCAGTCTACAGGAGTCCAGAGAAGCTGGCCGTGGCTCAGTGCAGCGGCCTACCTGTCAGCTCAGTCAGGGGGGGAGCTTACCCGTGCTCTGTGCAGGTGTATCTCCTCTGCAGCTGAGGATGCCTCCTCCATTGCCCAAATGGTGGCAGTAATTCCTGAAACTATGTTGGAGAGATGAGTGCAGGCTCATTGTGGGCAGCATGTTTTTGAACAGTTCATAGTATTCCTGTAAAGTCTGATTTAAATAACAGGCAGTGTGTGATGGCTCCAAGGGGAATAAAGACACCCCGATGTGAAAAAGCCGTCAGCATCTTGCAGGGTTCCCCTCGCCTCGGAACACGTGTTCCAAGTGAAAAAGACCAGAGGTAGGAGGTGGCAACTTGTAACTCACCTGGGGTCTCCTGCTCTGTGTTGCCCAAGGCAGCTTCTGGGAGATCAGGTAGTTGTGCCTAGTCCTCCACCATATTTTCTGACTTGCTTCTCATGAGTAATTTTGTTTAATAAATAAAAGTGATAGGAGCCAGAGACAGAATCTTGGCAGCTGGATTCTGTGAGTAAGTGAATAAATTAAGGGCCTTGCGGTGGAATGAAATGGCGGGGGTGTTGCTGTCGGGGGGCTGGTTGAGGGGGCTGAGTCGTGCGCGTGGCCGTGGGCAGGACTCGTTCTGGCGCAGCCTCGGAGGTGGAACAGGGCCGTGCTGTTCGAGCTTGACAGCCGTGGCAGCGAGTCTCAGGAAGAGCGGGGACCAGGGAGGGAGGTCTGTTTGAGAAAGGAAGATTTTGGAAAGCTTGAGCGGGGATATCTGTAAAGAGCAAACTGACACATTTTCTGGAATGTTTTTAAAATACCAAGTTTAATTTTATTTTATTTTTAGGTCATAAGTATTTTTGGGGGGTGGGGTGGGGGAAACACACCAAGGGCTGCAGGAAAGTATGATTACACAGGATGTTTGTTATATGGAAAAGGTCTGGTTTTGTTGGGTGATAAGAAAGTGTACCTCAGTTTGACTGGTAACCCAGTCCCACATTTAACAATTTCAGATTAGCTGCTTAATGGTCTGAAAGTCTCAGGTTGGTCATCGGCTGCTGGCCCTGAGAAGCACCCCCCAGGTGCCCCAGTCCGACTCTCGGTTCTCGGTGCGGAAGCCAGGGTCTCACCAGAACCCCTACTTGTAGCTTAAGCTTAGCCACCTTTTCATTCACTCCCAAATTCTTGTTGGGTATAGAGACACTAGAGTGAGTGGGAATATAGAGAAGTCTGGGCTTCTAATTTAGGGTGGAAGACAGGCACAGAAGGGTCTGTAAGCTTAATGAACCCTGAGTGGTGACTCCTGAGCTTGCTTCCCAGAAGCCCGAGTCCCACAGATACCTTCACCCAGGTGCCTGTGGACTTCCCCAGAAGCTTTCCTGGTGTTTCATGTATGCTGCTGTCCTTTGGACTGTTACCGTAACAAGTATTTCTACCAATATATTCTTCATATAAATTAAGGAAGCATCAAATAATTTATAAATACAGTTAATAAAGGGATTAAGCATTGTTTGGGAAGATGCATTTTAATAAAGGGCATTTTAATAATTGATTAGACCTGTGAAAGTACTTAAGGGACATAAATTGATGAAACAAATTATTATAAAACTAGTAAATGGTTTTCAGTTCTTTAAAACATCTAATTCAAGAAACACATTGGCCTCAGTTTTGTCAGTGCTGAGAGATTAAAAAAAAACAAGTTAATACATCCGTATTTCAAAGTACAATGGGTTAGTTTTTAATTTTGATGACAATTCATCATCAGTGCCACAGAGCAGAGGTTCTTAACCTGGAGGTCACAGCTGGGCTCGGCCCCAGGGGGTCCTCTGCAGCTGTGTTTATAGGATCCGTGCACTTGCCTAAGAAGAGTGTCCGTAGCTCTTGGGGGCCCCGTGACCTCGGGAAGCTGGAGGAGCGCTGCTGTGGGGCTCCTGCTGTGTGGCAGGAGGCGATGGCCGCTGCTGTGCGCTTTGTGCCTAGGTCGAGATAAGTCGAAGGGTGACTCTGGAAAAACTCCCTCCTGTTCTCGTGCTGCACCTGAAGCGGTTTGTTTATGAGAAGACGGGTGGATGTCAGAAGCTTATAAAAAATATCGAATATCCTGTGGACTTGGAAATAAGTAAAGGTAATGAATCCATAAAGCGATAACACTCCTAGAAAGCAATGAGTTTGATGCTTTGGCATTTCTACATGATGGCAAGATTAAGGAACTTTTATTACATGCTTTTTGTTGTAAATTTCTTGACTTTTAATAGACCTTTTTATTAAGATTCTCACCAAAGTGGCTTTTTTAACAGTAAAGGCAAAAATGAATAAAGTATATTATATAATCTTACTAGATGAGAAAAATAGGTTTTGTCCATCAAAATGAGCATTATTTTTCTATAAATATTTTATGATACAAAATAATTCTCCTTACACTAACTATTAAGAACTGTAGGCCAGCCTGGACTTCGTAGCGAGTTGAGAATGTTTCCCACTGGCCACGGGGGTTGGTCCAACCTCTGGTTGCAGTGCCCTGCAGGTGAGGTGCCATCTGTGGTTCTCTCAGCCTCAGGCCCGTCAGGCAGTGGGCTCAGCAGCATCAGGTCCCAGTGGAAGGTGTTCTGCTGAAAGTGCAGCTTGAAGGAAAGCTTTCCTTGGAAGCTTCAGAGTTAGTGAAAAATGTATTGTGCAATACTGAAGCTTGGTTGGGAACACGGCAGGCTAGAGGTGATTCTAAACCACCAGGTGTCTGGAAAACAGAAAAGAGGATGTGGATGCCACCCCTGGGTCTTGCAGAGGAATCACCCTGTTGCCCGCCCCCCTCCCGCCCCACACACACCCCATATAGCACACCCACACCCACTGCCCCCTGGCGAGGGACCTGGCCCTGGTGGGGCTGGCTCACCACCCCAGCAACACCGCATGTCCCGCAGCCTTGGCCTCCGGTGCTGGCTGTCCTGCTGCCCTGTCTGCCCCCTGCGCTGGCGTCCTGTTCATCCCGTCTCCACGCTGCAGCTGCGTGTTCATCCCGTCTCCATGCTGCAGCTGCGTCATCGCTGCCAACATGCTTTCCTGACCCATTTGAGGACCAGAAAGAGAAGAGAGGCCCGCTGAGACTCACTGCGCTGCCAGCCCCCTTTTGCCTTGGCTGTCAGGGCACACACAGCACACACTGAGTGTGCGCTCATGCGGCTTCCTGCACCCCCAAGTCAGCTGTCTGGGTGGACTTGGGTCGTGGTCTATCCTGATTTCATTTGCATATCTTTTCTTGCTTATTACATGTGTCTTCATACCAACTGCCACCCCCAGTGCTTTCTAGAAAGACAAATACTGAACGAGGACAAGACGACGTAGCTCGGGCTGTGGGGGTGGGGAGTAGAGGAGGAACCCTAAGTGGCTGCCAGGGCCAGTGCCCCTGCAGATGAAGCTTCCAGGCATCCGGGCACAGCTTGTGCAGGGGGCCGGAGGCTGTGGACGGCCCGGGGGACTGTTGCCCCTTGGGAGAGCTCGCCTTCCTGCACCTAACGGGGGCTTTGTGCTCTGGCTCATGTATGAACACGGTAGCTCTCGGGTTTTCCAGGGCTGTTTCTTATGTTTAAGTAGGCAGCTTTTTTCCTTTCCTTTTTTTTTTCTTAACATCTGCTTTTAAGGGGTTTATAGCATGAGCTCAATAGGCTCAGTTTATTATAGCTCGTATTTCTTTAAGTATATTCCAGTGCTGCACAACTGATTGCCCTCACTGGTCAGGTTTTATGCGGGGAAACGGACGGAGTTTTGTCTTCTGGGTCGCTGGGTGGTTTGCTTGAGTGGAGACAGTCGTTAGCCCTTTGACTCTGTTATTCTGAACCTTTCTGTAAGTGCTTTCACAGAGTGGAGCTGTTGATGTTTTGTTTTTCAGAACTGCTTTCTCCGGGAGTTAAAAATAAGAATTTTAAATGCCACAGAACCTATAGGCTATTTGCAGGTAAGTAAATTTTTGTACCATTGTTTCCTTATTAAAGCAATGGTAAAATGGTTTATATGTAGGCTCAGTTTTGCTGTAATGCCGCTTTACACAGAATAGATCTCTCGGTTGGTGTCCCTGTGGGCTTTGTAAGTCAGAAAGTTGTTTGAAGATGTGTGCTTTACCTGAAGTTCAGTGCTTGAAATTCGACAGAATATCCTCCCATCTCAGCCACGTAGGACCTCATTTAACACTTAACACCGTGCTTTCCATCTTTGAGTCCGAGCAGTGAGTTTAGGCTGACGGGCCCCTGGTCTGTCACGTGGCCTCGCACTGCTGCCTTTGTGGTACCTGTGGAAGGTGGTCCCTCAGAGTGGCCGTGACGCCAGTCACCCAGCTAGGCTGGCGGAGAGCATCCCCGGCTGGCCTTCTGCTGGCTGCCCCTCCGCAGGGTGCCGTCAGGTGTACAGGAGAAGGTGCCTGAGCTCACGCAGGCTCTTGGCTACCAGACTCCTCAGTCAGTCTGGGAATCCTCACCCAGTCCCAGAACTGGGGGGCCCGAGGACCCCTTACCCTCCTGGGCTGGGGCTTCCTGCTGTGCCAGTTTGTCTAACGCTCCGTCTGTCCTTCCTCCGTACTCCTTTCTCTCTTATATGCCTGTGAGGCTTTATATCACTTTTAACAGTTGCCATGTACAACAATGTGTTTGCTTTCTGACCCTTTTTATTAGAATCTTCTAATTTCTCTGTCATCCCTCCTTTTGTGTTGCCTTTGGTGAGCCTGTTTGTGATTTAAAATAACACCGCTTTTTGCTGACCCTCACACATACCTTTCGACTAGGTACCTCTTGTATAGCACCTCATTTATTCCTCACAGCTGACCTGAGAAAGATGTGGTAGTATCCCCGTGTTATGAAAGAAAAATGCGTAACGCAAAGAGGAGCATTCCTCGCTCTGAGACCCGAGTGGCCTAAAGTCCTCTGCCTGCAGTTCACTGCTGAGGGGTTCTGGGAAGCTGGGTGGGCCCTGGTCGGTGGGCAGAGCCTCTCTACCGCATGGGAAGGGCTGTGGCCCAGTCAGCTCTTTGTTCCTATCAGGCACTATTCTTTTGGACTTTCTCTTCTCCCCCAGGGCCCCTCCCAGCAGTCTGGGGCCCTGATATGGTGGCGATGGGCACCTTGCTGTTGTGCGTGTGTCCAGCCCTTTCCTTGCCCTGCCTTGGGATGGATGCTCTGCAGCCCAACTCGGAGCCCGGAGGAGCCTCGGGGTCTGGCCTGGCTCCCTGGAGCTTTGCACTGGGGTCCCAGCGGGTGGTGAGGTGTTTCTTTGCCACCTCCCTGCAGCCCTCTGCCTTGTAGAACTTTGAGGCGAGGCTGATGATCAAGGGCAAGGTTTAAGGATTCGTCTCCTGGTCAAGAGGCCCTGGTGTGAGTCACACTCTGCCCAGCCGCCATGGCCCAGCAGTTGTGTCCTCTGATCCCCTAGTGTGGAGGCTCCTTGTGCAGAGCTGAGGGGTCCGTAGTGACTAAAGCCCAAGACTGTCCTCTAACTAGCCAAGGTCCTTGGCCCCGAGTGGATTCAGTCCTCCCCAGGAGTGACAGCTGCTGGTGGAGCCTGGTGATATTCCAGCTTATTTGTTGCTGAAATTTCCTACCAGCTAGGTGGTGTGCCTCTTCAAGTGCCCGTCCCTTATGCAAGTGATGGTGGCACACAGCTTACCCCAGCCGCACTGCCTTCTCCCCAGAATTTCACTAGAGGCCATTTCCTCACCCAGGTTCATGTCTGCCGCTGCTGGGCCACCCCTTGCCCCCTCGCCCTCCAAGGGGCTGCATGCTTCCACTGGCTGTCCCGTATTGGCTTCATTTTATCTTCAGTAGTTGTATGTTTTAGGCCTTGAATTAAGGCTTCTTGGTTGAATTACAGGACTTTTTAAAAGTAAATAATAACTGAAATTTTTTTCTGCTAAAGCACTGTTATAGAAAGATCAGAAAGTTTTTTAAAAGATAAAGAGTAATGACTAGTGCCAACTCTGTGGGGCTGCTCTATGGCACACAATCGGACAGCCCAGGTGACAGTCCTGGTGTCCCACAGGGTGGGTGCTGTCACTCCTCATCAATGGCGAGCCCCAGAGAACCTGGGATTCTCATTTTGTCAGGTAACATAAGCACATTCTTACATCAGCAAGCACCGTCACCTATTCCCTGGAAAAATTCATCTTACTGTAATAGAATTCGTTCATCTTTCGTTCAAGTGTGTGTATTTAGGTTTCTCCATTTTCTCACTGTTACGAAAAATCTTTGTCCAAGGTCCAGATTATCTCTTTTAGAATAGTCTGGAAATAGAGTTGGCTAGGCCAAGGGCACGGATGTTTCTAGATCTCTGGGTGCATATTCCCAGATGTGGATTCATTTGTACGGTGGACGGTTCTGTACGAGTGTTTTCCATGATCTCCTTTCCAGTTTGAAACAGGGAAGTGAAAGTGGTTGATGAGCTCCCCGAAATGGCTGACAAATGGGACAGCCCCATTTAACTGGCATTTCTTCTGTTCGTGAGGTATTGAGCATCTTAAAAACTTGTGAAGATGTGTAACTTCATTGTAAATTGCTCAAGGTTTTTGACTTCTAATAGCATTGCTTTGTATGGTTAAAGTTCTCTGTCCCACCTACTCTGGTGAACTGTCTCCCAAGAAAGGTGGGTGTGCAGAGGGTTGGGGTGCCCCCTGCTGGGCTGCAGTCCACTCTGATGGCTCGCTTGGGCCTCTCTTCCAGTGGTCTACCATCACGGCAGCAGTGCGACGGGCGGCCACTACACCACAGATGTCTTCCAGATCGGCCTGAACGGCTGGCTGCGCATCGACGACCAGACGGTCAAGGTGATTCACCAGTACCAGGTGGTGAAGCCCACCGCCGAGCGCACAGCCTACCTCCTGTACTACCGCCGCGTGGACCTCCTGTGACGCGCGCCATGTGCCCGCGCTGCCCGCAGAGCACCGCCTCTCACCGATTTCCTCCCTCTCTTAGCGGTTCCTTAGAGAGAAACTCTTGCTCCCTTTTGAAAAAATGGGCTAGAATGGAAAGGAGACGCCTTGGGGTTTGTGTGCAGCGTAGTTCGTGTTGACTTCTAACTTCCAAATCAAAATCATTTGGTTGAAACAGACCATCAGTTGATTTAAGAAAATCCACAAAAACCCATATATCTGAAATAATGCTGATTCCTGAGTTAAGAAGGGGGACTTGTGTTTGATTCCCAGTCTAATTGCTTGTAGAGTAAATCCTGCACCAGCAACACTTGTAAATTTGTGAAGATGAATTTTATCTTTCCTTAAAAAATGAATTTTTTAATCCATCACTCCTTCCTCCCCCACCCTTTAGTTTTTGATAAATGATAAAATGAGCCAGTTATCAGAGAAGAAATAGTTCTTTGAAGAAAACATAAAAAATGAGTTGCTGGTTCCTAACAGGAAAAATACATTTCAATAATTGTGCGGTGAGAAACTGCTTACATACACACTGCAGATCAAATATTTGGAGTTAAGGTGTTAGTTCACATAGATGGGTGACTGTAACTTTATTGCTGTTAAAAGATTTCAAATTGCATTCGTGCTTCTGTGTGCACATAATGGAAAATGGGCAAAACAGTGAAGACTGACCTCTCAAGTCCGCCATGTTTAATTCTGCTGTCTGCTCTCCTGTCGCGCTGCGTCTCCACTCGTACACAGGTTAGTGATATCTAGGAGTATAAAGTTGTCGCCCATCAATAAAAATCACAGAGTTGGTTTAAAGCTGTGTGTGGTGTCTCTTTGGCGTGAGTGCCTTTTGCGGTGACGAGTCAGGCGGGCAGGGTGGCACTTCCAGAGTTAAACGGAGCCCTTCAAGCAGCCCAGCGCGCTGTGAAAGCTGAACCAGGACTCTGGTCATGTTCGTCTGGTATTTCCAAAGTTAGTAACTATGGTGTTGTGGGTGAATGGGTGTTCTTTGAATCTTCAAATAGCAGAGGAGGAGAGGAGGTGAACTCTCATTCGATGTTTCTGCCCCTGGATTGTTCAGTGTTGCTGAAGTGGTGGGTCTCGGTCATGGCTGAGCATCCTTCTGATCGCCTGCTGCTGGAGTGGCTTAGCAGCACCTCTGGGCACCGCCTGCGGGCTGTGGAAAGGACACCTGCCTGGACAGAAGAGGTGGAGAGGAGCGACGACGTGTGATGAGGCCACCCCCGTGGTTCCTGTGCCTCTGGTGGCCCAGTTTCAGGCCCCACACAACTTATAGTAACACACGGGGACCCTTGAGAACTGGGTTTGCTGGCCCAAGACTTTTTCCCCAGGCTGCTCCTCTTGGCATCTGGTGTTCCTGGTCATAGCCTTGTGCCACTCCTGGGTTCAGAGCTTGCGTACTGAATTATGGTATTAGCACTGGCCTCTTAGCCTACCTACCTGTTGTTAGCCGCCTCCGATTTGTCTGACTTACAAGTCACATAATTGGCTTCTCATCAAAATAGCATACAATCCTTATGGAAAGCATGGCATCTGGAAACCAGATTAACATGGGGAGAAGCAACCCACACCAGCAATAACCCAGCCAAAGATGAAATGAACTGTTCTGAAGCACCTCACTGGTTCTGGGTGTGGCATTGGAATCCAGGTTGGGTCCCTTCCGCACGAATTGCCTAACCTGGCCCCCGTAACTGGTGCTGGTCCATTCAGCCCCAGCAAGGAGAAGTGGCTCTGTTCCTAACCTGTCCCCGGTGAGTCCGAGGGCTGCTCAAGAGCAAGGCCCTGTGGCCTGGGAATGCTTTTCACAGGGATCTGGAGCAGGCCAGAGGGCATTGCTGTGGGTACACCACCCTGCTTCCAAACCTTGAAACACATCCTGTGTATTTAGATGAGAACAATTACCCTCAGATACCACTCAGGGGTTCCTATATAATACAGTCTTTTAAGTAGCTAAGGTATGTATTTCGTCAGTTGCAAAATAATGTTGGGAAAATCTCAAGTGTCTTTCAAGAGTGGTAGAGATGAGTTAAGTCCAGAGGGACATTAGGATGTCCTGGTCAAGTGTAACGTGTAATGACACTGCATTCGCTCAAGGTTGCTGTGTGTGGTGGCACCTGGACTTTTTCCTTTAGCTGGCGGGTAGCCCATAGGGCTCCCGTTACCCTTCGTGTATGTCATTTGTTGGAAGAGTGTGCATAACCCCGTACTACATAGGTCCCCCGATTGTATTTGTGACGAGATGAAACTGCCCAGTTTTGTTTGGCTTAATTGAATCAGCAATCCAGCTGCAGACAGAAAAGCAAAATAGGGAAGTGACAGAACATGTAGCAAGGGGGTGTCAGCCTGGAATTCAGAATAATCCCCATTTGGTCCTCGGAGTGGATTATTGGCCCGTGGATAGAGAACAAGGTCATTCTAGCAAATCCAGCATTTTCTAGGGTTCCCAGTGAACTGTGGGCCTGTCTCTATTGCCTGTTCTTGAGAATTTGAACTCAAATAGTGTTCTGTGCTGCTGTGTTTAGTATTTTTATTGGTTTCTAGACCATTTCCCTTGTCATTTACACTTAGAACTTGGCCTGTTAACCTTGTTGGTGATATAAGTTTAGTGCTTTTTCCTTCACTAACATTTGACATGATAGGTGGCTTTTAAACCAACAGGAAATGCTAGGATATTGCTAGAAATATGTTCCAGGGAGATCTCTCTTTATGTGTGCATTATTACTAATGACTTGGAAATTCTCTTACAGGGAAGAGTGTAATGAAGTTTATCTGGTTGGTATATTTTTGCCCAATAGCCAAGAAAGTGCACCGGCCACTGTGGATTCCACTCATTGAAAATGCAGTCACGTCATCCCGTTTGGGGCCGTTGTTAAGCCGCCGGAGTGGCTCATGGCCCCATGCATCCTGCTTGCATTGTTCTGTCTTGTCCTTAGTGGAAATGATGGTTATCGCTCCCAGGCTGCTTGTCCTTGACCAGCCAACTGGTTAGAAAGCTAAGACTGCAGTCAAAGTCAGTTACTTTGGACTAACCAGATCGGCCACTGAGTTTAGTATTGTGCAGCCATCGGCCAACTTGCATCAGTAAGCCGTGCAGTGTGGACACATCAGGCTACTGGTTGGTGTAGTCCATGAGGAGGGACAGAAGACCCAAAGCTTCTCTATTTCATTTCTGGCTCAAGAAAGAAAAATATCTCGTTGACTGTCCCCAGTGATGACAGGCTCCATTACCTTGATTTCCTGAGGGTCAGTGGACTTAGGAAACTAGATAAAATATGAGTATTTTAAAAATAGTCCACATTGAACAAGACCACCTGTTAAAGGCCAACTCTACACGTAATGTGTTTTTGCTTAAAAACCAATCATGGTGAATTGCCAAGCAGGCACAGCTTTTCCTCATCCAAGGTTTTCTCTTCCAAGGACTTGCTCCTTTATTTAGTGTTGTTATTCATCTGCTGGACTGACCATTCCCATCTTTTATTTATGCCTTTTGGAGAAAAATGTATTTGCATGGAAAATGAAAATCACCTCGTAGGCCAGCTTCCCCTCTTGGTGATGGTTTGTTCTTTAAAGGAACCAGTGAGTCGCTGGCTCCCCCCTTCTCATTTCCACTCTCACCCACCCACCCCTCACCGGAAACAAGGATACGTTGTTCCGTGAGTGTGTGTGGGTTTCTTTAATGGGATTCAAGTTGTCAGTTTATTTCTCAGTTGTACTCATGTTTTGTTTCTCAGACATGCCTTGTCTCCTCATATTGATCATGATTAGGGATTTGCTAAGCGCTGATTTGCCGGACACAATAGCATTTTGTCTTCCCTTGGAAACAACTGGAAGGTAGGCTTCTAAATCGCTGCCATTGCATTAAAGGAAATGTACCCAATCCCAGCTGCTGTGCTGTCTATGAAGTATTTTGTTTCGGCTCTTAAGATTTCATACCCAACGATATTATCGAACATATTTTCATTTTTTATAAACTGCATTTTCTCTGATTCCCATTTAAGTGCTTACCCTTTGTCTTATCATTCATTGGGAAAGTAATAATTGTTTTCTAACAAGTATTAGGGCAGCTTCATTTATTCTACTGTCTCAGACCAATAAAAGTAAGTGTGCATTTCAAAGAGTTCCTGGATGGGCTTTCCTAGGACTGCCTGTGAGTGTCTGCACATTTGGGACCCAGAGAAACTTCAACCCTGTGGTTTGGTTTTGGCCTTTGTTGTTGTTAAGTAAGTAGAAGATTTTTTAAAACAAACACCTTAGCCCATTCGGAGTGTGTTTTGGTCTTTGTGGCTGGGCCTTACTCCTGGTGCTTAGAGTGTTCAGGGTATCCCTGCGACCTGACCTTGGGCTCCCCGAATGTCCTTCAGAGAAAGCAAATCACGTATTTCCTGAGTATATGGGGATTCTTCCTGAGTATATGGGGAGTCTCTGTGTGACTTAAAGAAAAAATACTCCTATGCTTTAAACAGTAGGTTGAAAGTGTCATGTGAGATGTAGATTCACTTAACTGGTCTGAGAACCGACTCCATCCTCACTTGCTCCCTGCTTGCATTGGTGGGGCCGGCTCTGGTCATCACCTTTGATCCATGCACATGGAGCCATTCATTCATTGCTGCTTAAATAGCTTCTGATACCTTTAGGGCTGGGTTTACTGCTCTGCTGTGGCCTCACGTTCAGCTTGAAGCTGTGTGCTACTGAGAAGTCGGCACCTCTCAGCGTTGCAGTGAATGACCTATCCACCCATCACTTCTGAGGCCAGCAAATGGGTCGCCCTCGGGCCATGCAGGGCACGACATTTGTTACTTTTGAAAAGGTGTGAATTTATAATGACTATTAACCACTTTCTGGGAAAGTGTCCCATTTCCTGTCACCCTGCCACACTGGGGCCTCACTGCAGGGGCCAGAGGCACAGTGAAATGGTGCCTCTGCCTAGGCAGTACACAAGGTGGGGCCTCGAGCGGATCCGTGGGTGTTGGCACCAGCGACAGGCTGCTGTGCTCTCCGCGGTCACCCGTTGGGTGCTCCTTCCTGCCGCCCCTTCATCACCCCTCCAGCTTCCCCACCCCCTCCTCCCTATTGATTCTCCTTTGGCTTAGGGCTTTGGCATATTTTTAAGATACTCGTAATAGTTAAGACACAGGGCTTCCTATGGCCCAGGCCTACTTCTGAGCTCTCTACGGGCATGTGGGATGACCCAGGAGTATAGCTGACCCTTGAGTTCCGGGGTTAGGGGCACTGATGCCTGACTCAGAAACCTGCATGCAACTTCTGACTCCCCCGAAGTAGTATTAATAACTACTGTCTCCTGTTGACCAGAAGAAGCCTTACTGGTAACATAAACAGTTTATTGCTTATTTTGTGTATGTGTTATATGCTGTATTCTTAAAATAAAGTGAGCTGGAGAAAAATGTTTAGGTTGTTGCAGATAGTTGACAAAAATGTGCGTCTAAGTGGACCTGTGCAGCTCACACCCGTGTTGTTCAAGGGTCAGCTGTACTTCCCATCTGCACTGTGCAGCTGGTGGATTGGCCCCTGCTTCAGCCTGCATGGAGCCCCCACACAGTGCCGTGTGCAAGCATTCGCCCCGTTCATCCCTGCGGCCGCCCAGCTTACAGACTCCATCACTGGCCCTTGGCAGTACACTGCATGCGGTCAGGCCAGCGGGTAGTGCAGGGAAGTGGGGGAGAGATCTGGGTGAGCTCTCAAAAGCTTGCAGCATTAAAGTAAAAACAAAGTATTGAAATGGTTAAAGACTGGGTGCAGAAGCTGCACAGCCTGGGCTCCTACCTGCACTCACTGGC